CACTCTCTCTATTCTTTCTTGAAGACAGTCATTCCAGAGGGACCCTGCCCCATACCCAGGAGGAAGTAATGCTACACAGAGAGGTCAAGAAGGATCTGAACAGACAGGCCTTGAGGGATTCCCCTGGGTCTGTTACCATTAGATCACACTGTCCAATCACACTTCTACACAGCTGTCCATTCTTCACCGAACTCAAGCATAAAAACAGACCATTTTGTGTTGAATCTTTTGGTCTTCATTTTGAAGCTTCCTGTGTCATGTAAAAGTATAAGTAAATTTGTTATGCTTTTCTCTTGTTAGCCTTTTTGTCTTTTGTTTTATGAGTGTCAGCTGTGACTTTGTGGTGGGTGAGGAAAGGTATCATACCTTTCTGCCCCTACAGCCTTTTCTCTGAGGACTATTGGAAGGATTTGAGTAGAGGGGTAATGTAATTTGACTGACATCTTAACAGGATCGTGCTGGCTGCCATGTTAAGAACAGGAATGAGAGACAATGGTTGCAGCAAATAGATCAGTTAGGAGGCTATTGCAATAGACCAGAACAGTAACAATAGAAGTGGAGAGAAGTAGTCAGATATTGGATATATTCTGAAGCTAGCATCAGCAAGATTTACTAACATAATGGATGGGAGGTGTAAGAAAAAGAGAGAAAACAAAGGTGCCTCCAAAGATTTTGGCCTAAGAGTAGACCTTGGAGATTGTTCTATATGAGGATATCCAGAGTTGCTGTTTTCTTTTTATGACTCATCTCCACCTTATGCAAGGTATGGCTTCTGTAGACTAATTAATGGCTTGGTAGTCCTGTTCAGGGTGATTGCTATACTGTCAAAGTGTCTCAAAGGTAGTCTGATTTTTTTAACTTTGAATGCATCACTCATAAAACCTGAATATTCATATACCTAAATATAGAATTATTTGTACAAACATAATACCCTGTAGAGTTAATAAATATTTCCCATGACTTAATTATTTATTTTGTTCAAGGTATTGTACTAGGCATTATGGACATACTAAGATGAACAAAAATATTCATTCATCTCAAAGAATTTCATATAATTAGGAAAACAAAGTCAGGTATAGGTATTGTTTGAGACTGGTGTTGTGGTTAAAGAGCATGAACTCTGAGATCTGGGTTTGGATCCTGAGTCTACTACTTACTAGCTCTCTCTTGTGATGATGAGGGAGAAACTCTCCCTCGCCAAAGTTCACTGAAAGATCAACTCACAATTAAGGCAGATTAATAAGAGAAAGAGGTTTATTTACCATTTGCATGGGGAGAATGGCAGAGTGACTACCCAATATCCCAGTGAGGTCCAGAAAGTTTTCTATCCTCCTTTTAGAGGGGAGGGGAATATGAGGAATATAGGTCGTTCTGTTTAGGGGCAATAAATGGTTACTAGGGATGATGAATGAATGAGAGAAACATTGACTTGTAAATTAACCTGAGAGACAGGGATTATGTTTGAAATGATTTGGGCTAGGTCTGGTTTTGTTCTTGATCTTCTTTTCTGCAATATATTTAGATAACAGGGATGAGGAGGGAAGTCAATTGTTCTTTTGATGCATCCAGTCTGGTCATGCAGATAGAGGGAAAGCCCCTTCTGAGGGCCTGTTGATCTCTAAATGCCTTTCATTCAAAATACTCTTTACACCGAAGAGTCACATTTTGGGGTAAAATTTCCTGAAGTACTTCAGCTGCTTACACAATCTTGGGCATGTAACATAACCTCTGTGAGCATCATTTTCCTTATCTGTAGAATGAGGGCAATAATACCAATCTTTCAGTGTTATTGTGAAAATTAAGGGAATAATGTATAGAATTCACTTAGCCCATTGATTTTTCCTGGTAAGCTTTCAATAACTATTGATTGTTATTATTATTAATAAACAACTAGCGTGTAAGGCAGAGTGTCATAAGGATTTTATAAGAAAGTTATACCTATTCATGTGTTCCTGTGTTCCCCTCTGGCCTCCCAAGGAGTCTCCCTCTCTATGAAAAAGAGAAAAATAATATTTGGAGTAAGGTTTGGGGAACACAGTAAAGGATCAGAAGGAACATCTTTAAGAATCTTATCTCTTTTTTTTTTTTTTTTTGAGGCAGAGTCTCGCTTTGTTGCCCAGGCTAGAGTGAGTGCCATGGCATCAGCCTAGCTCACAGCAACCTCGAACTCAGGGGCTCAATTGATCCTCCTGCCTTAGTCTCCCGAGTAGCTGGGACTACAGGCATGCGCCACCATGCTCGGCTAATTTTTTCTATATATATTAGTTGGCCAATTAATTTTTTTTTTTTGAGGCAGAGTCTCGCTTTGTTGCCCAGGCTAGAGTGAGTGCCATCAGCCTAGCTCACAGCAACCTCGAACTCAGGGGCTCAATTGATCCTCCTGCCTTAGTCTCCCGAGTAGCTGGGACTACAGGCATGCGCCACCATGCTCGGCTAATTTTTTCTATATATATTAGTTGGCCAATTAATTTCTTTCTATTTATAGTAGAGTCGGGGTCTTGCTCTTGCTCAGGCTGGTTTCGAACTCCTGACCTCGAGCAATCCACCCACCTCGGCCTCCCAGCGTGCTAGGATTACAGGCGTGAGCCACCGCGCCCGGCCAAGAATCTTATCTCTTAATATTAAACGAACCAAATGACAACCTCAACCATCATTTGCATTAATTAACTATGCTAGAGGATTTTTACTTATTATTCATTTAATCTTTATATTGATCCTGAGAGGTCATGATTACAGTGTCTGCTTTAGATTTGGGGGTTGTTAATGAGCCTGTACTTAAGCCTACCGTCTGATCTGCCTTCCTAAAAGGCCTTAGAGTAGAGCCAGATACAGAGAGGAACCACTGTGAGTAAGTAGCACATTCCCAATTTATTGGTCCACCTTCTCCATGGCCTAAATCATGTCAGTGGTCTCTTGGGTTGTAAGCTGCTAAGAGTGCTTGTGCAAAAACTTGACCAGCATCTTCCATGTGAACTGTTGGTTGAATTCATGACATCTCCCCTAACTTCTGTTCTTTAACTGTAAAATGAGTGTAATATTTTCTTGTGTCAACATGATATCGTGCGTATTAAATAAAATAATCAATTGGAAAGACTGTAAAAAAAATTGTAAGTTTTAGGAGAAGAAATTGAAATTTACTGAAAGCTTCAGTTGAGGGTTAACCCAGTCTCTTAGAAGTAAGAAACTTTTCAGGAGAAAATAATGAATATTTTTTTTAGCACACACCGTGTTTTCAATACTGTGCTAGACAAATGTAACAGATACAGAATAACTATAATGTCCCTGTTCTCAAAAAAACTTGTAATACGATAGGGCAGAAGAAAATTGCAGCAGCCAAACAGCATGTACAAATTTTCTTTACTGAAAATACTAAAACCATATGCTATATTATCTCTGGGTAGCAAATGGAAGAAAAGAAGGACACTAACATTGCACTAAGTAGTTTCGCATGTGATGTCTTATTTACTTCTCTCAGGCATTCATTGAATGAGGGATTGTTTTCTCCATTTTTGTAGATGAGGTAACTGAAACAGATATGTTAAATGAATTGTCCGTGGCAACATAAATATTAGAATAAAGACTAAAACTTTCATAATCAAATTCTAAATCTCTTACTGTTTTTACTATATTGAGTCAATCTTTAAGACTTGTCAAAAAATGTTCCAGATCTTTCTCCTTCTGGGCATTTTATTTGCCCACTCCCTGGAATTTAGGTATGGCCATGTGACTTGTTCTGGCCAGTGAAATATGGGTAGACGTGACATGCATCACTTCTGGCAGATGCCTCAAGCGATCACTTCCGGCATCACTTGTCTACTAATTTATTGTCCTTTGTCTAAATGGTGTAAAGGCCTCCAAGCCTAGCTGCTGCTTGGGGATTTTTGTCTTCTCTGTGGACTTCACTTTGTTTTCTCTTTTCTTCTGCTACAGCATGTAGCAGTATTCCATATAGTAGCTATTTGGTACACCTTTGGTCCTGGAATGAAGACAACATGGATCATAGCTCTTATCTAGTCCTCAATGGACATGTAGAATGAGAAATAAAATGTTTACTTTAAGCACTAAGCTTTGAGGTTCCTCATTTTATAATTTTACTGATGAATCCTGACTCAGTATTAGAAATAAGGTGCTGCTCTCTTTAAACGCTCAGCAAATCTGTTCATAAAATGGCTTAGGGTATAGCTCTTCCACCAAAGTTTAATAGGCCTAAAGTACCCCCAGTTGAAATTGAGAAAGATGTAAGTCTTGAATGAAAGAATTATAGGGATAGCTATGAACACATGGAGCTGACATAAATACAATGGATGAGAAGCTGACTAAATTTCAAAGCCGTGACCTGGACTAAGAAATCTGTGACTATTTGAGACCAAACAATGGCTCCTGGGTTCTTAATCTTCTACAGACAATGAGCAAGTTATAAAACCTGCTCAGTAGTCCAGTGCCAGTATAGTCCAGTAGTCAGTGCAGGAAATCAGTATGCCACCCCCAAAATATGCCACTGTGGCATAAGGATTATTTTGAGCTGAAGGCAATTAAGAAAAAACAAAACACAGGATAAGCTCTCTTCCCTCTCCCATCTGCCTGAAAACACCGCATAAATTTTCCTTGTAAAGGAGTCCCCCGACCTATCCCATACCAGGAAGAGAAGAACAACCCTTATCCCTAGAGATGGAGGTAGGGAGACAGCATGAGAAGAATCTACGTAAACAAACCTACTAACTAGCCCTAATCTACCATTAATATCCCCCATATGTTTACCTGCCCACAACTTACCACCTCCTAGAAGGCTGAGAAACCTCTTTCCTTTGTCTTATCACTTCTCTAATAATTTATTGTCCTTTATCTAAATGGTATAAAAGCCTCCAAGCCTAGCTGCTGCTTGGGGGTTTTTCTCTTCTCTATGGACCGCCTCCCATGCTATGCCACATAACACATGTGACATTAAATAAAATTGGGGTGTTTTCTTCTGTTAATCTGTCTTCTGTCAATCGGATTTGCAGGGCCTTAGCTGAACAACCTAGGAGAGTAGAGGACAAAATTCCTCCCTTACAGCCCTCTTCAGATGTGGCCAAGGAAGATCTCCCAGAGGGTGCAATGATAGTCCTGGAGAACACCAACTGGTGAGCCCTTCCTGGAGAAGAATTTGGGGCCTAATTAACTAAGAATTTCCTCATCCCCAGGGTAAGAGACCGTCTGATCATTTGTACAGAATTTCTACAGAGTACTGTATATTTCCTTTTCCTAATGGGAGTGTTTTCCTGTTCTCATTCCACCATTGTATGTTTGTGGGAAGGGGAGCAGATAACTTGCCTTTTTAGTTCATACATCTCCGGACCCAAGGCAGCCACATCTGGACCTGCTGTAAACACCATTGCACATTTTCCCTGATATAGCGGCTACCACACCTCACCTAGAGATTCTGAACTTTGAGCGTAATTCTGTAACTGGATAGGATTTGGGGGGGAGTGTATTTTGCATATAGAAAGGAGAAAGAAACTAATATTTATAATAATAAATAGATAAAAGCAATAAAATAAGTAGGTGTTCATTTCATCAGATAAAAGGGATAAAAAGGGTCGATTTGGGTTCTTATTAGGGTTGTTCACAAACTTTCTGCCATTTTTTTCTGATAAATTGTACTTCTCCACCATTTGAAGTTAAGTATAGACATTTTACTCATTTTGACCCACAGAGAGTATTATTTCTCAGCAGAGGTTTTGAGAGGTGGTATGTGATTCACCACACTTTCTTTTCCTCTGTCATGGCTGGCCAGCAGTGTTCCAGAGAGTGGCTGTTCCATCAGCCTGAGTCACAGATTCAGGACCACGTGAAGCAGAGACTCTGGCCAGCACCCAGTAGGAAAGCAACATGAGTCAGAAACAAACCTTTTCATCTTGGGACATGGGCAATATACCTAACCTTAACATTTGTACCCCCATAATATGCTGAAATAAAAAAATAAATAAATAAATAAACCAAGATACATTTGAAGAAGGTGAACAAAAGGGAAGGCCTTCCTCTAACAGATATCAAGACTTAATAGAATGTTATAGGAATGATGAATGTGGTATTTGTACAAGGACAGACAAAAATACTACAGAAACAGAAAAAGAGCTCAAAAACAGACATATAAACACAAGTACTTGGCTTATAACAAATATAGCAGTGTAAAACAATGAAGAAAGTGTGGTATTTATAAAGTGTGCTGGGGCAATTGGATATTTATATGTAAACAAAACAATTCACAGTGGATTGTAGATCTAAATGTGTAAGACATATGAATAAAACTTCTGAAAGATAACATGAGAAACTATCTTCATGCCTTTGGAGTAAGGAAGGAGTTCATAAACAGGTTATCAAATATACTAACAATAAAGGAAAAGCTTGGCATGTTGGACGTTAAAATTAAGAACATTGTTTAGTAAGGCACTGTTCAAAGGCAAGCCACAAAATTTAAATCAAAACCACAACAAAATATCACTTCACACCTACTAAGATGGCTAGAATCAAAAGGACAGGCAATATCAAGTGTTGGAAAAGATGTGGAGAAATCAGAACTCTCATAGACTGCTGGTAGGTGTGTAAAATGGTACAGCCACTGTGAAAATAAAGTTACCATATGAATCAGCAATTCCACTTCCAAGTATATTCCTGAGAGAAATGAAAACATATACCCACCCAAAAATTTGTACATGAATGTTCATAGCAGCATCATTCATAATAGCCAAAAAGTAGAAATAACCCAAATGTCCATCAACTGATGAATAGAAAAACAAAATGTGGCATTATCCATACAAGAGAATGTTGTTCAGCCATGAAATGGAATGAAGTACTGATATATGCTACTACATGGATTACACTTGAAACATGCTAAGTAAAAGAAGTCAGACACAAAAAGCTACATATTTTGATTCCATTGATACGAAATGTCCAGAATAGGCAAATCCACAGAGGCAGAAAGTAGAGTAGTGACTGCCAGGGGAAGGAAAGCTTGAGGAATGACTACTGACTGTATAGGATTTCTTTGGGGCAGGTAGGGAAGAAATGTTCTGGAATCAGATAGTAGTGATGATTGCAGAAGTTTGTGAATATACTAAAATCCACTAATTGTACACCAAAAAAAAATTGCACAAAATTTTTTGAAAGCCAAGCCACAAAGTGGGAAAATGTATTTATATAAGTACATATAAACCAAAGGTACTCATACCCAGAATATATGAACTCCTAGAAATTAAAAAAAAAAAAAATCAGAGACCTCAAAAGGAAAATGGGCAAAGGATTCAAACATGCATATAACAAAACAAGATATCCCAATAGCCAAAAATATAGAAAAAGTTCCTCAGGCTCTTAGTAATCAAATCATAAATACAAGTTAAGATTTAATGAGATACCATTATACATCTTCCAAATTAGCTGAAATTTTAAAATCTGATAGTGTCAAGTCTTCTCATGGAGAGAAGCATTACTCTCTTACTCTGATAAGATGGTATAAAGTGTCAAACATTTTGAAAAAAGAGTTTGGCATTATATAGTAAAATTAAAGTTTCAAGCATTTGTGACCCCCTCATCTCACTCTTATGCAAATGTGCACATGTCTGGCTAGAGTCATGTACAAGGATGTTCACAGCAGCAAGAGTTCATCAACAATAAAATGGATAAATAAAGTGTGATCTGTTCATTCAATTGAATAAATACAACAATGGCAATTAATGAAGTATAGCTACATGCAACAATATGGATGAATCTTAGAAAAGTAAAAGAAGTCCAAACTAAAGAATACATCCACACGTTCATAATAGTAAAAAAAGTAAATACAATTTTAAAAAATTAAAAAAAAACAAGAAAAAGAAAAACAAACAAAAGAATACAATTTGTCTGAATTACTCAAGTTCAAGACCAGACAGAATGTTCAAAACCAGACAAATGTTCAAAACATTTCAATGTTTGGAAATGCATATATGGGTATTACAACTAGAAAGTAAAGAAAGGAAATGATTACTGGCAATGTCAAGATCTTGATTACCTGGGGGCTGGGAAGGGATTTTGACTGAGAAGGGTTCTAGGTTGTTGGCAACCTATTTTTAGAGCTATGCAGTGGTTATGCAAATGTTCTCTTTATAGTAACCTAAATTAATGTTTAGCTACTCTTCTTTTAATAAAAGGTTTTTTTTAAGTAATTTTAAAATATAAAAACAAAAAGCTTCCCAGCAAGAAAAGCCAGAGTGAGAAACTATGGTTGTGAGCGATAAGTCTGCCGCTTATCATAGGCATTTGTGGTATAGGTTTCTTGTCTGTTGACATTTTTGTGGTCACAGTGGGAACGGGAAAGAGGGAGCTAAGTAAATGTCATCCATTTCTGCAGCATCTCTATGTTTTAAGATGAAGTTTTGTTGTTTGCAATATTATTTCCCCTAAAAGAAGTAAAATTTTAAAGAGTTAACTTGAGAATTCGGAGAATAACCATATGCAAAATTAACCCTTGTTTTTTTTTTTGAGACAGAGTCTCCTTCTGTTGCCTGGGCTACAGTGCTGTGGCATCATCATAGCTCACTGCAATCTCCAACTCCTGGGCTCAAGTGATCCTCCTGCCTCAGCCTCCCAGCTGGAACTATAGGCACACATCACCATGCTCAGCTAATTTTTTCTATTTTTAGTAGAGGCAGGGTCTTGCTCTTGCTCAGGCTGAACTCCCGATCACAGGTGATCCCTTCTGCCTCGGCTTCCCACAGTGCTAGATTACAGACATGAGCCACCACACCCAGCCAAAACTAATTTTTTAATCATAAATTATGTATCAAAATTAAAAATTATATATGCACCCCTTATGTATTTTTAAATTGATATCTAAGTTTGCCATCACAAATTTAAATAGTTGCAAAGCATATAATTCCTGGCAGATTGTAAAAATTGACATTTAAAATTAAACATCATTCTTTGAAATATATCTCATAGAATACATTTAAAAGACATAGTCCTAATAAAAAAATATATGAAAATATCTTTATTTTAATAAAAAAAATTTTTTTGAGCCAGTGTCTTGATTTGATACCTGGGCTAGAGTGCTGTGGCATCAGCCTAGCTCACAGCAACCTCAAACTCCTGGGCTGAAGCAATCCTTCTGTCTCAGCCTCCCGAGTAGCTGGGACTATAGGCATGCGCCACTACGCCCGGCTAATTTTTTGTTTGTATATTTTTAGTTGTCCGGTTAATTTCTTTCTATTTTTAGTAGAGATGGGGTCTGGCTCTTGGTGAGGCTGGTCTCGAACTCCTGATCTGGAGATATACTCCTGCCTCGGCCTCCCAGAGTGCTAGGATTATGGGTGTGAGCCACTGTGCCCAGCCATAAAAATGTTTTTAACATTAGAATTTTGTCATTTTCCTCCTTGATCCAGTATTTACATTATATTAGTATTTGTGTTACATATTTCCCTCACAAATTTGATCAGAATGTATTTTATGCTTGTATTGATCAACTTTTCCTGTTGCTGAAAGCTCGGCATTTGTCCTTGAGGGTGCATCAGAAGAATAAGGACAAGTGGTTTGAGGAGAAAGAGGAAGAGTTTGTTACTTTGCCAGCAAAGGAGGAAGATAGAGACTTCTGTCTGAAAAATGCCATCATCTTAACAATAAGCAGAAATACAGAGCTCTTAAAGGGTAGGTTCAGCTTCAGGCAATTGTTGTTCAACTACAGTTGATGATCCTGACCATCCCATCTCTGTCCATCTCCGCTGAAGACAATCCTGTGACCTCCACTCAGGACCACTCCACCAGGTCCAGGCTGAGCATCTCCTATAGCACAAAGAACAACAGACACATGGCAGTAAAATAAATAAATAAAAAATAAAAAAAAGACCTGCCTCTTCCTGTTTGGAAGTAGGGGTGCAGGTTTTAGTTCTCAAAAAGGCTTGCAGGATGTTTTAAAGGACAGAAAATATTTTTGCCATTTTTTCAGGCCATTCCTTCTGTTGCACTCCCTAGAGCCTCTGGAGGAAGTGGCTCTGCCAACAGTTTGGTTTAAGTCCAATGGAACCCATTTCAGACTTCTGACCTACAGAACTATAAACTAAAAATCTATATATAAAATCTTTTTTAAAAAAAAATCACTTGCCATCATAAATGTCTAAGTGTCTTGGCAGTACATTCCAGATTGAGTTATTATTACAATTATTATGGTACATAATGGATGAAAACAACAATAATGCAAATTTTGATAAATCACTTTTAAATAAAAAATACATCTCTTAATTAAATGGATGGGGCTGTCATTTTCTTTTCTTTTTTATAATTAGTTCATATATGCAAGGTTGAGTAGCTAGTATTTCTTGCTAGAATGGATGTTCATATCAATTATATTCTCTTTATTTGTTTGATAGATTTAAGTGGCTCACATAAATAAGTAGACAGAAATAGAAAATGTCTTGTTATAGTAATGTCACTGAATTTTTTTTTAACTCCTTTCATGTTATAGGCCAAAAGTTATGTAATGATTTACAATTAAAAATTATTTTGTAATGATCAATTATCTAACTCAATGAGGTCAAATTTCAATGAAAGCAAAGAATTGAAACCACCTGATTTACTAAAGGTTTATTATCCAGTCATTAAAGGCATTTGTTTTCTCATATTGACACCAGTGTTTTTATTTGGGGGCTTTTTTTTTTTTTTTTTTTTTGAGACAGAGTCTCGCTTTCTTGCCTAGGCTAGAGTGAGTGCCATGGCGTCAGCCTAGCTCACAGCAACCTCAAACTCCTGGGCTCAAGCAATCCTCCTGCCTCAGCCTCCCGAGTAGCTGGGACTACAGGCACGAGCCACCATGCCCGGCTGATTTTATATTATATATATTAGTTGGCCAATTAATTTCTTTCTATTTTTATGGTAGAGACGGGGTCTCGCTCAGGCTGGTTTTGAACTCCTGACCTTGAGCAATCCGCCCGCCTCGGCCTCCCAGAGTGCTAGGATTACAGGCGTGAGCCACCGCGCCCGGCTGGGGGCTTTTTTTTAATGGGAGAGGTGTCTACACCCTGGGGTAATGTACTCATAATAAGATTGGGAGGTGTACAAGAGATAAGCCTTACTTTTGAAAGGCTGGAAGAGGCAATTGTGAAAGAGGAGGTGAGAAAGAAGGAACAACCTTACTACTTCACTCTCTTCACTCACAGGCAGTTTTGGAAACATATATTTGGAAGTTGAGCTTATGAATTATTTTAAGATTATTCATGTTATTATGGTAGGCTGAATAATGGTCCCAAACTGTCTACATCCTAGCAGGCCTTTTTTTTGTTTTTTGTTTTGTTTTTTTGCGACAGGTCTCTGTCACCCTGGCAAGAGTGCAGTGGCTTCATCACAGCTCACAATAACTTCAAAATCCTGGGCTCATGTGATCCTCCTGCCTCCGCCTTCCAAATAGCTGGGACTACAGGCATGCGCCACGACATCTGGCTAATTTTTCTATTTTTTTTAGTAGAAACAGTGGCTCGCCCTAGGTCAGGCTGGTCTCGAACTCCTGAGCCCAAGCAATCCTCCCACCTCTGCTTCCCAGAATGCTGGGATTATAGGCGTGAGCCACCACACCCAGCCACAAAAACTGTCTACATCCTAATCTCCAGAACTTGTTAATGTTTACGTGGCAGAAGAAACTTTGCAGAGGCGATTAAATTAAGGGTCTTAAAATGGAGAGATTATCTGGGATTATCCAAATGGGCTCAGTGTCATCACGGAGCCCTTACAAGAGGGAAGCAGGAGATCAGAGGGACAGAATGGGTTTATCAGTAATGCAGCTCCCAAACCAGAAAAGGCAGGAGCAGGATTCCTCCCCCAAAGCCTCCAGAGGCGCGTGGTCCTGCCCGTCCTTGGTCGTGGCTCCGTGAAACCCATCTCAGGCCTCTGACCTCCAGAACTGTAAGATAATAAATTTGTGTTGTTTGAAGTTTGTGTCAATGTGTGACAGCAGCAATAGGAAACCAATACACCACTTATGTTTAGGGAAGTCTTTTTGTACTTCAAGGTGGACGTATCTGTTTATATAGACAATGTGGAACCCACTGTTCTGTCTGTAGAGTAACCATTTTTCTGGTTTTAAAAAAAAAGCCTAGGCTGCAAATCATCTCTATCTCCTGCTGAGGTTCCCGGAGAAGTAAGAGATACTGTGCTAGCCTGGAGTGCTCAGCAGAATTGTTACAAGTAGATTAAGCAAGTACCAAGCCTAAAACACTACTGAGCCAGGAAAGGCCAGCACTTTTTTGGGTAACTCAGCACTGTTTTTTGCTTTGAAGCAGCGGCGCACAGACCTGCCTGACTGCTTTAGAACTTGCTTAGCTGTCCTGTCATGCCTGCCCTTAACTAATTGTAATACAAAATCCCGCCTAGTGAGAAAACTGTGATATTGTTAACGTAACATGGTTGTATGAGCACGATTTGTTTCACTGTGAACAAGCAGTGATGGAATGTCAAAGCTTGCTGCTTCACTCATTGGAAGGATTTAAAGGAATTACTGGTGGGCAGATGCGGATTTTGCGAAGAAAGCTCCTGTGAAGAAAGGAGCCGCCCAGGAGAAAGAGCCATGTAAAGAATCCGCGAAAAACTCATCATGCAGATTTTCTGGAAGATTATAAACTGTTCAGTGTCTGTACACCTCAGTTCTCCTGTGCTACTTGTTTTGGATTATTACAAAGAATTCTGTACTTTGGTTCTCAGTTACCTCATTTTTCAGTTGAAGAAACCAGACTACATGACTTCTAAAAACATTTCAAATTCTAATAAAGTACGCTGGGTGTGGTGGCTCACGCCTGTAATCCTAGCACTCTGGGAGGCCGAGGCGGGTGGATCACTCAAGGTTAGGAGTTCGAAACCATCCTAAGCAAGTATGAGACCTCGTCTCCACTAAAAATAGAAAGAAATTAATTGGCCAACTAAAAATATATAGAAAAAATTAGCTGAGGCCTGGCGCGGTGGCTCACGCCTGTAATCCAGCACTCTGGCGAGGCGAGGTAGGCGATTGCTCAAGGTCAGGAGTTCGAAACACCCTGAGCAAGAGCAAGACCCCGTCTCTACTATAATATAGAAACAAATTAATTGCAACTAATATATATAGAAAAAACTAGCCGGGGCATTGGTGGCGCATGCCTGTACGTCCAGCTAACTTGGAGGTGGGCAGGAGGATTGCTTGAGCCCAGGAGTTTGAGGTTGCTGTGAGCTAGGCTGACGCCAGTCGGCACTCACTCTAGCCTGGGCAACAAAGCGAGACTCTGTCTCAAAAAAAAAAAAAAAAAAAAAATTAGCTGAGCATGGTAGTGCATGACTATAGTCCCAGCTACTCGGAGCTGAGCAGAAGGATTGCTTGGAGCCCAGGAGTTTTGAGGTTGCTGTGAAGCTAGGCTGATGCCACGGCACTCACTCTAGCCTGGACAAAAAGTGAAACTCTATCTCAAAATAAATAAATAAGAAAAAAGTTTTAAAAATAAAAATTTAAAAAAAGAAAAAAGAAAAATAAAAATCAGGCTATGGTGGCCGCATGCCTGTGTCCCAGCTACTTTTGGAGACTGAGGCAGGAGGATTGTCGAGCCCAGGAGTTTGAGGTTGCTGTGAGCCAGGCTGATGCCATGGCATCTAGCCCACAGGCAACAGAGTGAAACTCTGTCTCAAAAAAAAAAAAAAAAAAAAATACTAAGAAAGTATAATTTGTTTTATGCCAATAGTGGGCTTTCTTGAACTTTATCCAGGACTCAGAAAATGGTCATCCTCCTGAGAACTAAAATAAGGACGACGGGGATGTCTCTCCCTAGGACCACCAATATGAGAAGCTTCCACAGATGAGGGATTTAATCACTGGATAGATTTTTACATAATATATTCAAGATGGTGACTTTCTGACTCAGAAATTTTACGTGTACCTGAGACCACAAGGCATATAGAACAAAATAGGTGGACCTAGAAACGAGGAAATGGAGAAAAAAATAACCTCAGTTCCAGAAAAAAACCAAGCTATTTTCTCTGACTAGAACCTTCCTCCTTCATTCACCCCTCTAGCTGTATCATTCTTGCTTATGCTTCATCTCAAAACTCAAGCATCTCGTCTGGGAACTCCTTACTGCAGCCCCAAGATTAGGTTAGGTTCTAACTGTCCTTTGTTATATGCATCCCACTAGTAATTATGCGTTCAGTGTTTCCCCTTCATCAGTAAACTCTAATCCTAAGGGCAGAGTGTGGTTACCACGTTCACCCTGTGCTGAGATAGTACCGGCGCTCAGTAGGTGCCAACGGTTGTGTATTTAACGAAGGCCCCTCCGGTTGCTTTCAGATTTCAGTGTATTTCTGTCCCCTGCCACTCAGTCCTGTAACCCTGCTTTGTGTTGGAAAAGAGGAAACCAGGAATAAGAGAAATGTACCCCACAGGTTTTGTCAAAACCATAATCTGTTAGATAAATTGCTGAGGGGGAAAATACTAGTAGAAAATTTCAAAGAATAGTTTCATTCAACAAAAAGATTAAAATATCCATACTATGGAAAAGTCCATCCTTATAACCACAGGCAAATGCCATTACTTAAGGAATATCTCATAT